AGAGATAGTGGAAAAACTCCTAATCTGTCCTAATCTTCAGACATCTTGTGATGGTGAAAGTAGCCAGTGACTTTAACATTAGAAAATGGAAAAGCCAACATCGTGTTTTTACCCTGTACTATTTCATACAAAATGTCCACAAACCTTAGATGGAAGCATTGGATTAGAAAACAGTTCTTTTTTTTAAAAAATTTCAAATATGTGTTTATACTGTGTAACACTGCTAATGTTTTATATGGCAATGTATATTCTAAGTATTTCCTGAAGATTGCTGCAGGCATTGTATAGTGCGAGCTTTTAGATTTCTAGTATTTTATATTCTTCCTTTTAGTTGTAGACAGACTTTTGCTGTTGTGAATTGTATGTGAGTTTCAGTTCAGGTAGGCTAGCACTACAGATGGTGTTGTAAGTGCAGCTCAATAGCATTTTGTTAATAAGCGACATATCATTCTTGTTAAAAGGATACATGTGTACTGATACACTTACATCAAGAAATTTGACTCCAGTAAAATGGTCTCTGCATTAACCATGTCCCAAGGTGTAATACAGGGGAAGTAGCTTTAGTCAGATTCTCAGAGGGACAGATTCTGAAACAGGGCAGTGGTTAAAAAACAAAACCCAATACAAGGGTTGGAGTCAGACTTACCGGGGATCAAATCCAGTTGTACTATAAACTGTGGTTTCTGCAGCTCAATTTCCAATGTAGGTTAGAGAAATAATAAGAGTCCACTTGAATGGAGGAGATATAATGCTAAACAAATTAAGTCAGTAGAAAGTAAAATCTGAGTAGTTTCACTTATCTGTGGAATATGGAGAAAACAAAGGATTAGATAAAACCAAGACAGTAACAAACCCTAAAAGTCTGGCTGTAGCATTGAGGCTACTAGAGCAGGAGGGGGAAGGTGGAGAGGACTGAGGTGGGACCCGGTGGACCTTTGGAGCCTTGTTGGTGGGTGTGCTGGTGACATGCATTTGAAGAGGTGTGATCCTTTACCACAGAATCATAGTGTTGTAAATGCATGTTCCTCATGGAGAAGATAAAATGAAAGCGTGAATATATATATATATATGAATAAAATAATAAAAACAAACAACAGGACCTATCTTTATGATAAAGAAATGACATAATGTAAATTTTGTAGTGTGATTTGTCTCCTGCTTTGAAAATTTTTCTGGAAGAAAGTTGATCAGATAAATAAACTTAAAAAATTTATATAGTGTATTTGACATTTAGTACCTGATGAACATATGGTACTATGATTATAGAGAAAGAACAATAAAACTTGCCTTTTTAAAGGCTCACTCAGGCTTTACCTAGTTTATCCACCATTGGCAAAATTTTTCTATCACTACACTGTCCATGAGGAAAAGCTGCTACTCCTATTGACTTAATAGGGACGTCAATTTTGTTGCTGATCTTTATTTAGTAAGGAAGGAGTCAGAGAGTACTTCAATGCAAGGCTTAATTCACTTAATATTTTCATTGTTTCTTGGATTAATTCTAACTCAAGCTTTCCTATCCTAGTTCATTTTTTGAGGGTTGTCTTAATGATGACAGAATCTGATATATCTTCTCATACAGGTCATATACATTTTGGAATGGTCAGAAATAGGTTTTATTCATGTGTAATGTTTGGTATTTCCTAACTTTAAGGGAAAAGGAAGAAAGGATATTGAGTCATTTAGTAAACTCCAACAGGAGATGGTTAAAAATCAAAGATGTTTTTCTACTATTAAAAATGAAGGTATATAGGCCCTCCCTGGTGGCGCAGCGGGTTAAAGCACC